GATAGATAGATAGATAGATAGATAGATAGATAGATAGATAGATAGATAGATAGATAGATAGATAGATAGATAGATAGATAGATAGATAGATAGCCTGCACCTGCAGTTTACTTAATAAGGTAAAAGTGCAAATTAAAGTTAAAGTCTCTCAGAAGATAAATCTCCCAGTGTTCATGAATTTAACTGATATACAATAAAATAAAATGTAAAAATGTGCTACTTTAGCTCAAATACAGTCACCTCCATCTATCTGTAGTCACAACTAAGGCTACCACGATGGTTATTGTCATTGTCACTTAATTTTGCCCATTATTTTCTGGAATAATCGATAAGTCGTGTAGTTTTAAAAAAATGCCAGAAAAAGGTGATAAATATTGATAGTTGTTTGTCAAACCCAAAGATAACACGAATATCAGTTATTGATCTCCATGATTACAAACATTCGTATCAACCTCTTAATTCTTATATGTGTGAAAATAAAGTGTCAGAAACATATTTCAACTCAGACGAACTTAGCAAAAATTATTCAGCAGGAATCAATAGATATATTATTTTTATTATTACTATTGTTATGAATAAATCTTTTCTCCAGAATTTCTTGTTTAGAATTTTTTCTAACTTTCTGAATATTTCCCAGTTTCTATTAAAAAATATATCACATTTTCACGATTTCTCACTTTTGGATTCTTGTTCACACATATTTTCCGTCTGGCATGTGATGAGACGTCTTCTTCTGAGAACCGGCTGTTCAGACTGAGAACAGCCCTGCAGGGAAACAACACAAAGGCTCAGTTATGAAGTTATGAAGATGTTTTGGAGATCAGCCTGAGAGGAGAAACAGAGAAGCTGTAAAACTGTCACACAACTGTTTATGAGTTGGTCTGAGGCTCATTTTGTAGAATCACACTGAACCTTATGACCTTTACTGAACTAATCCCCCCTTTTTTTTTTCTTATGTTAAGATGATTTTTTTATATTTTAGCCTGTTGGGACAAACTTCCTAGCTGTATTTTTTTTTTTCTTTTAATTCCAAAAGTGTTCTGAGAAAGTTCTGCAAAGTTCCACTAATGTTTTCATTTAGTTCCCAGAGTGTTCTTCTTTAAGGTCAGATAACTAAAGACGTTCTAAAAATGTTTAACAACGTTGTTGGACCGTTATGTGCTGAAGGTCTTAAAACTAAATGTTGTTCTGAGAATGTTCAGTTAAAATCTCCAACATTAAAAGAACATTTTAAAGATTCTACAATATGTTCCCTCAACAACATCCTCAGAACAATGCAGAAAGAATGTTCTACTTTTAATAATACATCACACTATGGGAACGTTTTATGAAGAGCATTCTGTCATGAGGTTCCCAACATCTTACTGTTTTTAGAATGTTGAGAACATCCTTCCTGTGTTACCATTGTAGAAATGTTTCACAAAAGAACGTTCTTTAATGTGTTCCCTCAACAAAAAGAAATGTTCCACCTTTAATATCACATTAAAGGAACATTACAAAACTGAGGCCTTGATAACATTTGGAAATTGTTTCTTTGAATGTTGCGTTGAGATCATCCTTCCTTTGTTATCATTGTGGAAACGTTTCAAGGAGAACGTTCTACAAAAAGGCCAATTATTCCACCTTTAATCAGATTACAGGAACGTTGTAAAATGTTCTGTATGAAAAACGTGTCGTCATCTGAGCTCTCCATAACATCTGGAAAATGGTTGTGAATATTTATACATATGGTCCTTTTCAGGATAGAAACTTCCATTTTTAAAAGTTGCGTCATCGAAACCAAACCAGGAAATGATGCACAAAGGCCTGAGAAAATCCATTTAAATCAAATTTTATTGATTTTCGTAAAGATCTCCAATAAAGACAAACAATGAAATGAGTTTAAGAGACTGGAAAGGAGGAGCTTGAGCAGGAAAGAACACATAAATAACAAGAAAAGGACGACAGACGGAGACAGAATGAGGGAAAGGCCTATTTACACAGAGACCCCACAGCCATGAAACACTGCTGAGGTTTAATCGAAGCGCTAATAGACCAGAGTCCAGCTAGCAGCGAAGAGCCTCCCGATGAGCTCGGCTTTAAATCCAGTTTTTGTTTTCAGCACTAAGTTTAAACACAACCAAAGCAGAATAAGCACAAAGAGGCTCATTAACCTGCGCTTGTGTGACAAAAATAAATGATTCGTGTTGTTAAAATGATGCAGTAATGCTACAAAAACTGCTCAGTAGTGACTTAGTCTAAGTAGAGGGAATGGCTTCAAAGCAATACTGACACCTGAAAACAGAGCACACCTAATCTAGGAAACAGAGAGGTGTTTAACAGTGTGTTTACGCCGCCCGTGTTCAACTTTTCATGTGAGAACCTTCATTTGGTGGCTGCATGCTCGGCAGAATCGTTTAAAAGAAAAAAAAAAACAAACAAAATAAAAAACAAACGGGGTGGGTGCTGAGGTTGAAATGTGACAAGGTGGAGGGAAAAAATTAAACTTATCCAATGTGTGAAAAACCAAACATAACAGTGACGTCTCGCTCAGAGACTGAAAGCAGGAGGCTCAGCGGAGTTTCTGTTCTCCTGCTTCTTCTTCTTATCCAAACTTTCTTCCACCTTCGTTGCCTGTCGTCGGTTCGTCTTTGAGATTTCCATCTTCGCCCAAACGTCCGTCTACTCGTTCTTCTTCTCCTTCTGCTTCAGCAGCTTGTTGATCTCCCTCTTGGCCATGCCGGCGTACTTCGTGATGATGCCGTGCTGGTTCAGGCCTGGCAGCAGCAGCAGGAAGCTCACTGCAGATAAAGAAGATTATATTATACTCGACATCATTTTTTACATCCCTTTGACTCCGTTGAGCAAATTTACACTCTCATCCATTTACAAGTTAAAAACAGTGTGCTAATCAGGATGTGTAATTAGAAAAACCCATTAATCAACATTGTGATGAAGCTTTACTCATGTCAGTCTATTCAGTCTATTTCAGGGTTTTCCTACACATGACAGTGAGAATGATCAGTCTGTGTACAGTAAAAGGAAATTAATCCTAGCTACCCTTTAACAGAAATCTATTGCTCTATTGTTGGAAATTTAGCCTCAATTAGGAAAAGACTTAATTTAACATTGTTCAACTTGTCAATGTGTCAAATGCAGAAAACCAGCTGCAGTCTTCCACAAATAAATAACCTGTAACGTTATTCATCTCTTGACATTAATCCTCACAGCTGATTTACATGATGGCGTTCATTGTAGTTCATCCAGCTGCTGGAAACAGCTGCTCAGCTGGAACAGACGTCCACAAATGCTGTTGTAGCAACTTTGTCAGTCCAGAAAATCTGTCAGCATTTACTGCCACCAAGAAAACAGACCTTTATGTGTACACTTCATCATTTTAATGTTTTTGGAGGCATGTAATCAGAGTCCTGCTGCTTCACAAGTTTGACAGACACTTGCTCCAGGTCTGTGGTAGCATCTGAAACTCTTAGTTTTTCTATTGTAAATACCAGCATAACTATGCACCATATTTCTTCTACCAGCATGATTTGCATGTTACTCTGCACATTCATTTTCTTATGTTTGTGCACGCTACTGGATACCTTGAATTTCCCCAAGGGGATGAATGAAGTATCATTTGCATTGTTATCATGAGCTTCAGGTAGCTAGCTAAAACAGACAGCCACCTTTTTACTGAAAGCTGTAGAGTTCACCAACATGACCGTCACAGAGGTGCAGCACACACACCTGTAACTCTATCTTAAACAGTAAGGCTCCACCTGGTGGATCAACCAAGTACCACAGCTAATCTATAACATTTTCTGATTTACATGTCCCAAGTCTTCTGCCTTATCAAGTAATATCTTCTTAATCAACTATTAACTGACTAGCAATCAACACCCCTAAAATAATATGATGCACAGCAGAATGAAGCTACGTGCAAACACTACAAGAAGAAAAAAAAAAAAGCTGCTGCTGCTGCAAAAGAAAACACGACTGATTAGTTTCAATATCTTTAACTCATCACACAATCTGCTGAGTGTGAAAACACTTAAGACGTCTCCGACCCTGCGGTTCATTCCACTGTTTATTATTGACTTAGAAAAATGCACATCTATCACTGCAATAACTCATCAGTGACTTGTTTACTCCACACAGACTGAGGCCTGGATCTCATCAGCATTCTTCAAAAAACAAGTTACTGTGAGCAGGCGAAATGTAGGAGCTGTTAGATTAAAATGACTGTTTCACAAGTGTGAAGTCATCGCTGCTTCACTGCTTTCTGTCTGATGAAAACTTGACATGTTTTAACTTATGTAACTGACTGACTCCCCTCTGAGGCAGCTGGAAGGTGTGTTCGTCCTCTGTTCACTTTACTGTTCACAGATCATTTCAGGTTTTACTGCACTTTACTGCAGTACAGACTGACGTCATAACTTCCTCCACCTACACCATTAATAACGGAAGAACTAACAGCTCTGTTGCTGAAACTGCCTGAGGTTTTTGGGATGCAAACATTGATCTACATGAGTCATCGTAGCAGGAAGCCTGGTGATGGAAATCAGAGGTCACAGCAGGAGAAAAGCAGTTTTCCTGCTCCTGAGGTTAAACCAGTTCTACCAGGAAACATCTAATCCTGTTTAATATTCTACACAAACCCTCACAAATAAATAATCTGACACTGAAAGCAGTACAAGACGCCTTAAAATAACTTTGACGCAGCAACGTTAGCAGCTGCTGACTTAAACAGCCATCTCTTCCTGTTCCTGTCAGGTCATGTGAATATTGTCAGATGTGTTAGAAAGATCACATTCAGGAAATGCAGCTAAAGGAGAAGATTGACAAGAATTTTGTCACAGTGGCTGCTGAACTTGAATGGACAAGCCTTGACTTCTTATTTGAATCCAAACGCTGATGTACAGCTCCTTTGTGATGAAATTAAATGTAAAAACTGAACAAGAAATATCAAGTCTCCTTTATAAAATCACTTTAAAAATGCTAGCGTTTGGTGTTGTGCCTTCAGCCAACCATTAAAAACTTCAACAAAAAACAAAAGTCTAAAAACATGAACACAATTTGTATTTAACCCTAAGAGCCATTTCCGAACAGCAAGTTTCAGATTTGTGACAGACATGAATTCTGACTTTGCACATTGAACTTAAAGATTTTTAAAAATAAAAAAATAAAAATCTAATTTACTTATTGAAAAGATAAACCTTGTAAATTGCTGGGTTTAAATAATAACTGCATTAACTCAATATTGTGTGTGATTGAAACTCAAACCTAAAAAACGTATTTCACTTTGAGATAACTTAATGAAATTGGTCAATGGACAATACCTGGATAATGTCCAATGTTTAAGACAGGCAATTAAAAATAACGTTGAGCCGATTCCTTTAACTCAAGTTTGTCAGTTGAACATAAATTCATTCGCAGTTGTCGTAACTCAAAAAGAGTGATGCAATTTGTTGCAGTAAATACTTTCTTGTTGAGTGTGTTAGTTCCTTTTTATCATATTCTCTTTTTTGTTTTTCTCCACGTACACATCTACTTGGTGTTATATCTTGTACAGTAGTTTCTATTTTTTATATTTTTTGGACTAGTGTTTCTCCTACCCACCAGATGTCAACTCAGTGTAAACCATGTATGTTTTGTGGTATGTAAATTTCTGCAGCACCACTAAAAGTTCCCCTGAGGGATTGATAAAGTATCTGTGCGCTGCATCTCTGGTATAAATGAGAGTCTCCTGCTCTTAACCCCCTGTGGTCTCTTTAATCTGGATGAACAGGAAAAGCACTAATGTGACAGTTCTGTTTTCCACTTAAGCCTTTGGGCTACAAGTTTGAAGAAACCAAACACATCTAGACAGTTTGCAGTTTCCTGTTAAACCATTGAGAACAAACGTATAGTATCACAGCAGCCCAGATTATTGGTGACTTGGTTGTACTTTTACTTTGTACAGTTTTTTGAGGAAGAAATGAGAAGAGATGTAGGAATAAAAGAGAGACAACAAGGAGCTTACAACACTTAATATGGATAAGAAATGTATTCTCAGGGGTTTTTTTTGTAAAATTTATTGACACTTTTTTTCCTTTCCATCCAACAAATTAGAAAGTTAAAGTTAAACCTGGTCTGAACTGCTCGTTTAGAGTCAATTTTTATTTATTTTTAAAGAGGTGACTCAGAATGGGCCTTAAAAAAGGTAACTACAACAGTTAAACGTGATGGATGTGTTCAGTAAAGGAAATTAGTCTTTATCTGACAGAAGTCTCTGCATTTTCCTGTTATTTCTAACCATTCTATAAATAAACATGTCTGTTTCATTGGGTTGGGATCTATCAGCCTGTACAAAATGTGTTCTCAGTCGTTTCTCCCCTTTCATTTGAAACTGTGTATCTTGGTAACATCGTACTGGATGGCCTTGGCAATGGAGACAAGAAACTACTTGACATTCTTTTAGCAGCAAGTAAAAAGGCCATCACCAGAAGATGGCTCAAGCCTGAGCAACCAAGAAATGAGGACTGGATCAACATTATACAAGAAATCTACAAAATGGAAACAAGTGTCTTTTCAACTAGAGCTTTTATAGAACTTGGTCAAAATGGACAGAATATGTCAAGCCGACTTTATGTAAAGGTGCCATTCAAGTAACAATGACTGCTGCAGATGATGATGCCATGTTAAAAAAGGTACCCCCCTACTGCTCCTGTTCTTAGTTCTATTTCTGCATAAAATGTTTAAAAGTTTCTCAAAAAAAAGTTAAGAAAAACAAAACATGTCTGTTATGCTGAAGTAAATAAAACTCAAATCGACAAAACTGGGTAAAAATACATATATCTAGTTTTTATTCTCAGTTCTTAACATGTTTGTGCTGCTGAGAATCTCTTTGGAGGGGCGCCAAAGATTCCTCTGTGCAGGAAAACCCTGCGCACAGCAAAAGAATTCAAAATATGACCAAACCCTTCACGTTCTGTGTGTTTTTTTGTGTTTAGGAGTGAAAGCAGGCACCAGGAGAGGAAATGATGGGAAACACTGGGAACATTGGTGTTTGTCCAGGTTACTGCGAGTTCAAACACTCACCGATCAGGTAGGTGAGGAACAGGTTGTGCACCTGCTGTCCGATCCAGGCGACTGCCAGCAGGCTGCTGATCACTGAGGCGAAGTACTGTGGAGAGCAGAGAGGTCACGTTACAGTCAGCTCACAAACTGTGGAACCGTTTAATGGGCTTAAAAGAATCCTTCCTCACATGTGCAGCAACAAAACTCATGTTATCTGTATTAGCAGAACACTCATGGTCATTCTAAAGAGAGGGAAAGTGTGAAAAATCAGGTTACCGCAGCCTGTAACCCAGTTTGAGGTCTGCTAAGTGGAACAGCGAAGCAGAATCAGCTGACATTTCTAATCTGGAGCACAGAGAAAAAGCTCCCCACTGTAATAAAGCAGCAGGCCTGCAGGCAGCTCTTAGGTTCTGCAGTCAATTCAGCTCATGTGTGCTTTATGTTTTGGGATTACAGTTAACATTTCAGTTTACCATTTTGGGCTTCTCCTCCTTCAGGGCACAGAGACGCTTCCACCAGCCGACGATGCGACGCTGAGTCTTCACCAGGTTACCACAGATCTCATGGAAACGCTGCTGCTGCTCGGTGGTCCTGAGAACGAACAGAGGTCGAGGTGTGAATAAAAAAAAAAAAACAAACAAAATAAGACAAAAACATCCTGACAGAAGAGTTTCTGCCAAGCGGAGGCCAAAAGGATGTGATCACAGACAAATGTTCACCAGCAACATCTTTTCAATTTGTCATCTAAAGGAAGCCACAGCAGTTCTCACTTGTTAGTTGTTGTTATACCAGACAAAAATACACCAAATCTCTATTAGAAGTGAAAAAATGTGCTGTTTAGTGAAGTTTTTCTCATATTTTCATCCTCTCTTCCAGTAAACTGACCATTTTGGTATTCTGGAGACATCAACTTAGGTTTTTGGGTACATTTTACAAAAATTCTCTGACATTTCGCAATGAGATTAATGGAGTCGATAAGCACAATATTTGATATGCAAAAAAAAAAGTTCAGGGTTTCAATGTCAGTGTCAAAAGAAAACACAAATCTGCCTTGTTATGAACTATTGTTTCCTCATCACAACTAGTCAGGTGTGATCATGCACAAACATACATCCAGTCTTTCTGTATTGCAGCGCTGCAAGGTTAAAGAGATTAAGCTCTGACAGTGATGAGGGGGCAGCTGAGAAAAGTGGCGATTATTTTCTGCTTAGCCATCGTTCCCTATTTCGGTCCTTGTTGTCGTGGAGCCAAACGGGAACCGTGACCGGACTCTGAAGGCTCCATTTAACCGGCTGGCTGGCTGTGCTGCAATCTGAAGGAGTGAGCTGCAGCCCGAGCTACAATATAAGAGTCTACAGATCAATAGCTACTCTGCAACTAAAAACACAAAGCAGACTTTTAAACCCAGGTGGTATCAGTTAGTACACATCAAACCAGCTCATTTCTAGTATCCCTAGAATCTGTCACGCCAGTTTTTCTTATTCATTGTCTACGTGAGCAGCTGTGCAATGCATTCTGGCAATATTGTGACGCATTGAAAGAGATGCAGGTATTGCATTGTCTGCTCCCTGTTTGCATAACGTTGAGGTCTAGAATACTTTGTACAAATCAGAATCAAAATTCCCCCAAAGAGATGCAAAATCACCACAAAAGGATGAAACTTAATTAAAAAAAGAGAGTCAAATATCATCATAAAAGGACATGAAATCACCACAACATGTGCAAAACCCACACACAAAAAGACCAGTCACCACTGAGTATATTTTCAGAAATCATATGAATATGTACAGCTGCTCTGGTCCCAGTCTGTTCTGATCATTTCATTAACAAATAACCAGATTCAAATGACTTAATATTCTGTAATTCAAGCTTTTTGTGGTGATTTGTAACTCGTTTAGGCTAATAAGGCTGCAGGAAGAGTCACTCAGAGTTCTGTGGAACATTTAGTTCATCTACAGATCTGTTGATAAGTGCAAGAGTTGATGATTTCATCCCCCCTAAGACTGCAGTCAGACTCATTTAATCCATTAATTAAAAGCTGTCAAAGCACATATGTAGAAACACATCAAGTCTTTGTGTTACTGTTAATCCAGATACAACAGTCACTGCTGGTCCTTACTGAACGGACTCTGCATGCCTGCTGCTGCCTGAGGAATGTGCAGCAGTGCAGGTTATATATCAAGACGCATATCCAACATACTGTGCCAACTGCAGGCTGTTACCCAACGCTGCCCTGGTGTCTGGTTGTCACCATCCAACGCTCACAGCTGAGTCAAGAGACTGTTAGGTAAGAGCTGTGTAATGTCAAAGCTCCACCAAGCTCAGGGAAACCCTATCGGGCTGGTTTCAGATGGTAACGTGTTAAGTAAAGCAAAAAGAGATCTGCTGTGAGGAGAGAATTCTGTTTCTACTCCAAAGTGACAGTAAAATGGATCCACAGATCTCACAGATGAGCTGGTTATTTGCTGTAAATGAGAAAGCCTGAACTGCTCATTTAGAATCAAAATGTTTGTTTCTTACTAAAAAGGTGACAGCACCAAGGTTTTGGGAGGTGACAGTAAACTAAAAATGTCTATTATGCTCAAGTAAATAAATCCCAAACTAACAAAATTGGTTTAAAAAAAAAAAAAAAGCACTGTGTAACGTCAAAGCTCCTCAGAGAGGTTCGCTGTGAAGAGAGAACCCTTTTCGTCCAAAGTGATCATAAAAATGGATCTTTGGTCCAATAACAGAGCAGCTCTCTCACAGATGACTGGGTTATTTTATTGATTTCACGTCTGCTGCCAATGAGAAAGTAACGGACAAAACCCTGAGGATTTTCTCAGTGCCAGTTTCACTTACATCATCTGTAGTCCGTCTTTAATATTGTCATGTTGAGTCATCAATACACACCTCCAAATGTCCTCAGCTAGAAAAACCTGATTCTGTCTTGCAAGCTTAGACCTCACCCAGTATCACTGCTCAGATTAATTCAATGACGAAATTGTGAAGTGAGACACTATTTCAAGAGCAGCTGCTATTATTTTAGATTTTGAAATGTGGTTCTAAAGGATGGATGTTGATATGAGCGCAAAGCCGACTAACTAGCAGAAAAAACCTTAGAAAAAACTAAACAGATAGGAAATAAATGAGATTTTTCAGTTAAATGTGACTTTGACGGTCAATCTCTCACCACTTGTTGGAGCCGAACACTCGGGGAGCCAGGGTCGGTACCAGGTAGTCGGCCAGGCAGAGCAGCATGACGGTGCAGGAGAGTCCAGTCAGCACTGACGGGTCCAAGTAGTAAATCAGCCTGGAAGTGGAACATGAAGCATAAGCCGCTGCTGCTTACACTGGAACTACAAGCATTTTCTAACCTGTATTTCCAATATTTTACAGTGCTGTTTTTGGAACCGCTGCCTGTTATGACTGAGAGATCTCTGTTCTTGTTTGCTGAAGCTGCAATTTTTAAAAAAACAGCATTGCAACTGACAGTGAAGCAGAGATCACCAGGGAGGGTGTGTGCATTTAGGGAATAACAAATAGGAATGCACTGTGTTAACAAAAACACAATCAGTAGCCCAAAAGGAAACAGTGTTCTGGTCTGGATTCACCCACATTGCAAAGAATGTCACAACCTGAGCTCATTTCACAAAATCGAATCCGTTGTAATCCACACTGTTTCACTTCCTCAAGGTTTGTGTTTAAACAGGGTGGAAAACTTCAACATAACCTTAGAATAGTCTTTTAAGACAACTTTAGTCTGATATGCTGACATGTTTCAAAATGACAGTATTAATATAGTATACAATCATTTAGAATCAACACTTAGACCCTTTTAAGACCTTGACAAAGAAGATTTGCCACTGGGCTGAGCTACATGTTTTAAAAATCAATCACAATATAAATATGGACTTTTAAAAATTCCATTTAAATTTGTCAAACCATCAAGAAACTACATTATGTCACAGATAATAGGGATGTAATAATTGTGATGCAAAAGTTCAGTGCACAGTCGTGTGTGTATTCTTGTGTTATTTACATGATCCAGGGTGCTGTTTTCTATTATCATGCATTACTTGAATTTTTGTAGCTTTTAAGCTTGAAATCCCCAATTAGTATGACAAAAATGTGGGAAACAAAGATGAAAAACTGAAAAAATAAGACCTTTCAGGATTAAAACAAGACTGTAAGACACTGCATAGCCTTGTATTTTTTGCTATTTTAAGACTCCTGCAAGGTACACAGATAGCATAAATGCTTGTTCTCTTGTCACAGATAGATCTCACTGCTGAGGGGAAGGAAAGGCATGCTATGCCAGCTATGTGCCCAGCTGTGTTTAGCACACAGTAACAAAGGGACTCACAGGAAGAGGACAGTGGTGGCGCCCATCAGGGCTCCAGGGAACCACGGCTTCTCCCAGCGCAGGACTCGGTCCCCGGCCAGGATCACTTCACCCCAGCCCTGCAGCTGCTCCTCCAGTTGGGCCGTTTCCTGAGCCTGGACACAAAATCCAACACTTTACCAAACCAAGTGCACTACTGATCAGTATAGTATGAAAAAAAACTCAATATCAGTATAATCCAGTAGGTCTGTCTTCAGAAGGCAGAACCAAGAGTTTTTCCAGGGGTTTGTTCTTCTGCTCTAGATAATCCACATCATGTTCTCTGGCTGATTAGTTGGCAGAATCAATGACATCAACATGACGTCTGTGCTACAAAATGCTGCATCATGACATTATTGGCCACCTGAGGAACAAACACGCAGGAGGCATTTTACATCCATTAGTTCTCTCCTGCTCTCTGTGCTCACATATACTGCATTTTCAAACAGCTGGGTTTCCAATAAAGCTGTTATCATTTACAGATTTTTCTTTTTCTGTTGTTAGACGACAGAATGAGTATGAAACAGCGACTGCTCATTAAAGCTTAATGTTAACCAGAAGTCTGCTGCTCTGTACCACTAAAATCCTGATTTTACAAAGACGACATTGTCTGGCAAAGTCATTTCGCACACGAGTTAAACGCTGTGCTGTGACTTCTCAGAATTCAAAGCTATTCCCCAAATCAGAGAACATCTACACGATAAGGAAAAAGGCAGTTGTTTTAGATGGTCCGTGCTGAAAACCACCATGTTCATGTTGCACTTTGTTTAATACAGACCAAACTTTTTCACTTCAAGGGTGTTGGTAGAATTATTAGTCACGTTGGAGTTTGCAGTTCAATTTTAATGTGAAAACCTTTGCTTACATTTTGTACTGTACGGCATTATACAATAACAATCTGTCAACAAAAAAAAAAAAAACTTAAATCAAGGGTAAATTAATTCAAAGTGCAGGAAAACGCAAAGTGACAGTTCCTTAAGGCTAGGCAACAACAACACAACATTACAAAAGAACACTCTTTAAAATTGAAAGACGTCAGAACGTCATAAATTATACAGTGGTACAGATTAGATTAATTAAACTAATTAAGATAATTCAAGCAATCAGTAAAACAGTCGATCAGTCAGAAACAGCCTTGTATTGCTCAACATGTTTGCAATTTTGACCTTTCACATTAGTGGAGACTTAAACTGTGTTCACCGTGACACAAAGACTTCCGTAAGCAAGAGGATAATTTAAAGAAGAAAACAAAAGCTGAGGAAGTAGTTTAGTAGCAAAACTGCAGCCAGCCTCGTTAAAGTCACTGGTTTCTTGCCAGTATGAAAACTACTTGCGTATGTTTCTAACTAATCCAAATTTAAATAACCATGTATTGGCCACTTGAATTGTATTTTAGGGTGTGTGAGCCTTTGGCGATAAGCACACATACGATAACGCCACTTGCCCTGTTGACATGCAGTGACAGTGCAAAATAGAAAATAATAGACTCTATATCCATGTAAAACAAATTAACATCAATAAAAATAAAAAAAATCCATATACGTCGAGTGAACCTAATTTCATGGTTCTAAGCTTAATTATAAGCCCTGAACCTGTCGCGTCGGCTAACAGGCTAGCTAAGCGGCTAGCTGAGGTTAGCAGCAGTGACAATCGCAGCCCAGCGGCAGCAAGGTAACGGACGGTCGGACAAAAGATTAGAGCTAAATCGGTTGGTCGGTTTCCCGGCGGGGCAAAGTTCATGCTACGAGAAAAAAAAATCTATAACACAGCCTCGGCTCCGCGAACACTATCAGATTAGCCATCGGTGCTAACGTCCCCATGAACAAACACACCCACATCACACGGGGCCGTTTAAAATCCGCTGAAACGTTAAAAAGCTAGAGTGTTTAAACTCACCAGCAGGTTTGCGCTTTTGTTGTCGCCTTCGGCCATTGTTCCTAAACCGTTCGGTTTGGATTCGAATGTGAATTTCGGAGTATTTTCAGAGAAACGACCCACAGAGCGACTGACAGACCGCACACTCTTCTCCGGCTGCTCCGGCGTCACTAACGGTCGAACAGACGCAGGATGTTTTTATCTGAAAAAATTGCGTCAAGTCAGCCAGAGGCATTCTGGGAAATGCAGTGTTGGATCTCCCGTTCATTAAATTTTTTTTAACAGAAACCCGAAGCAAAAATATATAGATTATGCATGAAGCTCTGAATGTTTTATGAATGCCATCGTGAATGCGTTTATTTATTTATTTATGCTTGTTTTTATTTACAAAAGCAATTGGTCACAATTGAAAAAACATTTTATTTGACACTGCAGAGACAGACCATTAGCAATGTATATATTTATGCTGTTTTGTTTTCGTATCATTAAATTGATGTAATGAATGCATCCATATGTAAACGATCATGCCTTATTTTTTGCATTTATTATACCTTTACATTAAGCCTTATGAAAGTTTTGTAATTCTTGTCCTTCTTCTTCAATACTTCATCTGTGTCTCGCAGTTGTCACATGTAAGCTTCACCAGTGAGGGACCAATAAAGTTTAATTTATCTTAATCTCATCTGATACAACACTGGCGGCAAGAAGGAGCCTGTACACTGCGCGCCACTGTACACTCCATCCAATTGCCTTGCTAATTTAAATATTTAAGTTACAATCCTACAAAATTATTTATCATACATGTTTTTTTGTTGTTGTTTATTTTATTTTCCCGTGTGTATTTTTAAATAGTGTTTTTTTTTAATGTGTTTTCTTAATGTAAATTTACCAAACTAATTTAAAACTTAAGCTTACTGACTAGAGCATATGTTGTCCTGATGAGCCAGAATTAACGAAATAAATTGAATAAAATTTAATACAATCAAACTAAATGCGTTTGTTTTTAATCCTCAGATGGAAACCAAAAATGTCTCACCTTTGCCGCTGCGCGTGAACGCAGCGCAGTCCGGACGTACGCACCATGCGTATGCCGTCACACGGTTTTCATCTCCTGTGGTTGGAGAGCCAACAGCTAGCTGGTGGCTAACGGAGCTAACAGCAGCGTTTCTTTATTTCTCACAGTTATAAAGACGCGGTTATTGTAAACTCGGTGTTGACGTGTGATTGTACGGGACTTTATTAAATCTATAAATTGCTCCCGACATCGTTTCACTCTTGGTTTGGAAAGAAAAGGCTGGTACGTAACAAATACGTTAGCTACTTAGCAAGCTAGCTTAGATTGGAATAGTTAGCAACGCTTAAGTGTGGTTGGGCCTTTAGAAATGTTGAAGCGTTAAATCCACCGACCATCAAATGACCTGAATGTTACAACTACAACTTTCAGACCCAATAATCATCAGGTTGTTTGCGTCAGTGTGATAAATTGTTTTTTGTCATCGTTAATCATCATAAAGTTGCTAACTTACACACATCCGTAGCAACAGGCCTGATCTGGCGCACGTGTTAAAGCGCGACAAAATCAATGTTATTCTGAATAAATCCTCCTTATATTGATAATATTTCATGTTTGGATGCAACACACATCCAGTTAGTGAGTCAGAATCATTTCAGCAACTCTGCAGGAAAGTCGGGCCACACTCAAACAAAACAGTGTCACCAAATTGCCGCCTGAAATAAAGCTGTTAGTGATGATATTTCAGTGATTTGAAGGGGTTACATTTGTGTTTTTACTAGTTTCATACAGTTTACTGTAATGGTTTATGTCTGCCATTTTATAACAGGAAGTCACATAGGGATTTAAAATGCTGTAATAAACCTGTATCAGGTTTGGCTGCAAGGAAAACTCCCCTTTGGACATGTTCGAAGATGCATAAAACAATAAACTGCCTTTGTTGGAAATTCTTAAAATGGCAGCTACAGTTCCGAAATCAATTAATACGCAGTTTTTTTATCATTTCAAAGTCGACTCAAGATGTCTGCTACGTTGTTGAAATTCTGTTCTCACTGTTTTCACATGACATTAGGACCACAACTAATACTTACTTTCATTGTCAATGAATCTGATGGTTATTTCCTGGATTATTCAGATGACTTGTTTGTTCTTTAAAGTGTCAGAAAACTTTGAAAATTGTTGATCATTGTTTCCTAAAGTCTGGCGTACTTTGTCCAAAGATAGTCAATTTTCTGTCATAAACGAGTTGAGAAACCAGAAAATAGTCACAGTTTAGAAACTACAACCACAGAAGTTTTGTAAATTATCAAAATAGTTCATGTCTGTTGAACCACTTGATGCATCTCTGTGTTTTGACTCTGCAGAGCCATGTACAATGGGATCGGCCTGACCACTCCGCGAGGCAGCGGCACCAACGGTTACGTGCAGCGAAACCTTTCGAGCCTTCGGGTCAAACGGCCACGAGATGAACGTGGTGGCGAGCGGGATGAGAAAGACCGCGAGAGGCTGGAAAGTCAGCTGAACCGGCAGCCCAATGCTGACATCCTGGAGCACCAGCGGAAGAGACAGCTGGAGGTCAAGTGTGCCGAGCTGCAGGACATGATGGAGGAGCAGGGGTAAAGAAATAACTCAAACTCAACCAGTTAGCTGTGTAACAGTAAACTGACTAATAGTTTCAGTCATTTTCCAAATGTTCCAATGATTTTGGCTTCCTAAATGCAAAAATTTGCTGCTTAGAGTTTCAAATTAGAAATGTTTTGGCATTTATAGCGAGCTACATGTGGAAATTTGTACTTAATCCATCCAGTTTGACTTCTATGTGTTGTTAAAAGCTCTTCTCTGTTTGGATGCTTAGGTATTCTGCTGAGGAGATCGCGGAGAAGGTGAACAGTTTCCGTATGATGCTGCAGGAGAAGCAGGAACCGACACCAGCGTCCACTGAGAGACCAACGTAAGTGCAACACTGGCAAACCTGAATTTTTGTGGCTGCATTTAAAATAGTGTTTTGTTAGGCTGTGTGTACACTAAATGTCAGAGTCGTGCTTCTTTATTCTCGTCAACAAATATTGTTCCCAGTTAAGATAATAGTAAAATGCCAGTATACAATTATGTCATAATATATGTAGAAGTCAAAATACAAGAAATCTTTAGGAGGTATAGACGCTACTTTAGTTTGCGTCCTGAAACATCACCCTGCGAGATGTCAAATGTTGCTCGGCTACATTACGTCCTTCACATACTGAGGAATGTCTCAATACTGAAAACGTGATAATACATACATACATATTTGAAATTTCGTGATTCTTGAAACTAAATGAATCCCAAAAAACAATCCCATACCCAAACCTGATCTCTTTTATCAAAACAATCATAGCTAGTGTCAGTCCACACCCCCTAATTCTAGTGTATCTGCTATAAAATAGAAAAATATATTTGTTACTCATTTCTTATTCAGTGTTTCACACATGCAGACTTCACTTAGGTGGGGCGTCGAGGCGTATTACTCCAGTTTTTCTCGAGAACGACGTCATCTGCCATTGATTACAGTGTTTCCTAAATAACACTTTGTTCTCTTTGTAGTTAAGCCTCTGTTAGAATGATACTGATCTTTTGGCCCTTTGAACTTCCCTTGACTTCCTCCCCAGAAGTATGTGTGATATGTGGGGTATCAGTCTACGAAACCTATATCTGACATATACCTGTTTCTAGATTAGCTGCTATAGGACCTTGACCCCATGTAGATGTATGGTAGGAGGACAGACAGGCACCCTTTGTGTCTGTCAAGGCCAGATTATTTTATTTTGAAAGCTCAGTCACTGCTTGACAATCTAGCCGTCATGTTTCCCACCGGCAGGCTGTTGGGTCACCATTGTGGTGGTCTCACTTAGCCAGCTTATTCTGGAGAACACATCAGTCCAGCTGAATGTCAATATCATTGTGATATAGGGGGGGAAAAACAATCTGATTTGTTTGTGTTTGTTCAAACCAATCACAGAGCGATGCAAAAGATTGTGGCTTCGGCTTTGACTCAAATACAAGTAGAAATATTTTGGTGAAAGATTTGCACACAGAGAGACAAGCACTGTGATTAAAGTGGATAATCCAACAACAAAAACTATCGGAGTTCCCTCACTGCATGATCCAAATCCTCTGCCAATCATGAAATCTTTTGTGTGGTAGGTTGCTGCTGAAAAGTTGTTGTTTGTTTCCTGTAGCAAAAAACAGTAATTTGCCATGAAGTCCTCTTTGAGTTTAACCAGTCAGTTTTGGGATCCATGGTTTTTCAGCGCTGCTGAGATGTACCAAACCCAGAGGAGGGGCTTTTTCTTCCCCACAAGAAGCTCTACAGGGGTAGTTGTTTCAGTCAGGACACACAAAGGTTTTCTGCTGTTGCTCAGTTGTTTTTTAATCTCAAGGTACTTAGCAGTTAAAGTATTTGAAGGGCAGAACCTTAAATGACACCTGAGGTCTTTGTCCGTTCTAGCGTTTCACCAGAAAAATCAATATCGTATGCCAGTTCAGTGGACGGTCGCCCTCGCCAATCACAGCTACACACACAGCGTTGCATTTTGACACACTGAACTGTAATGACGGTAACTACTGTACATCATCCAAAACAAGCTACTTTCAGCCTTTAGCTTCTGTGTAGAGCTTCGTCTCAACAGAAGAAGCTGTCTCATTTCATCAGTAGAAACATTTCAGGATGTGACCACATGAAGCTGACTTCAGTTTACATATCCAGATGCTTTGGATCAGTTTGAGGTGTTTCCTCCTTTTAATGCTTTTTGACACCGTTTACATGCAACTTGTACCAGATCATCGTCTCAAAAGTTGAGCATCTCCATACTGGCCTGTTCTGGATTATTTTCATATGTCTCCAGACCTTAGAACATGTATGATATCACAGATTTAAAAAAAAGGCTCTGTGATGTTTTCAGAATATGGGGATTAGCTTTCGCTCCAGTGTTGCTAAAATCATCTATATTCTCACTGAATCACAGTATCAGTCTTTTAACTCTTCATTAAGTCTGTGTGATCTTCAGACTGAGAGAAACTGAAGTTTGGAGGTTGTGTTTGTTTTGTTTTCTCTCAGGGTGACGGAGACTCACGCTCTTGCTGCAGCCAACCAGCAGAAGAACGACCGTCTTCGCGCCGCTTTCGGCATCTCCAGCGACTATGTGGACGGATCGTCGTTCCACGCCGACCGCAAGGAGAAGGAGAAAGAGAAGCGAGAGCAGGAACGTCTAGAGAGGGAGAGACTGCAGCAGCAGCAGCAGAAATATACGTGAGTCGGACGAACGCAATAAACACACCCACAGTGTTAAACCAAAAATGTGTTTATCAAATTTATGGTTCTTTTTCTTGTGGCCTCTTATTACAGTGAGTTATTTCTATTCCTGATTTGACATTTGTTGCTTTTTCAGGTTGGTGGAAGATTCAGACGAGTCAGATTCTCCTCCCAAGAAGCGCAGCCGGAAGAAGAAAAAGAAAAACAAGAACAGAGACAGGTGAGAGGATGAACTTCAACAGAAACAATATGGAGGACTGATGAGGAGGCATCTAACGGTTTTCTTTGTTTTGTTTCCAAGCAGCTCAGAGAGTCCCTCCCCGTCTCCTCGTAGAGAGAAGAAGAAATCCAAAAAGAAGAAAAAGAAACGGTATTCCTCTTTTAGATTTCTGTTTTTCTGCTTTTCACCTGTTGGCTTGAACAAGGAAAGTGTTTGTTAACTTGATAATCTGTTTTTCAGTGAGGTGTCAGAAGAGGAGGAAGAAGACAACAGGTAGGTGTTTCTGAATCTACTGCTTGAAATTAACCAGTCGGGATGTGTTGAACTCATGTGACTTTCTGTCTTTTACCCTCTTTAAGCTCCTCAGATGAGAAAGAGAAAGTGTCAAAGAAGACAAGAGCAAACAGCGAAAGTAAGAGTCCTCCAAAAGCAAAAGCAGCGCGACACAGAAGCGTCTCCTCCAGCTCGGCTCACAGGTAGGAAAATAAAAACATGAAATACCAGCGCAGAGGTAAACTGATCTCAGTGTTACCATTATTCACATATATTTGAGCGATTCTGTAAAAGCTACGTCAGTACTCGAAGCCAACATGATCTTTATGTTGCTCTGATTGCTGCTTTCTATGATTTAAAGTCTGAGGCTAAACTTACCAATGACTGCTTTGTTGATTTTATTTTCACAATTAGACTTGAACATGTTTCATAATAAATTACAAACAAATGCTCCAAAATATAACTCCCACAGCCACGAAATATGAAATGATGATGCGTAGGAAATATGAAATACATTGTCAATATCAAGAATTGACATTTTGACTAGTGGGAAATCAATTGTATATATTTTGAAAGAGAAATGCTTCTAGTCTACTTTACATTTTGGACATGGTAGCTTGGAGTTCCAACTTGTCAAAAAGCAGTTGTTTGTATCTATGGTTGCTGTTATTGCTGCCGATTAAACCTCAGAAGAACTCGCTATAATGGCACTCTTGTTAGGGTTTTGTGTTTTTTTTAAAAAACTAGTTCATTTGAATTCTGCTAAACCTGATTAAATTCCTTTTTCCATGTGATTTTAACAGCCAGTCTCCACCGCCACTGAGATCACGTCAACAGGACCAAACTACAAGAAACATCGATGAAGGTAGAAAAGGGAGATCACCGGACAGGAGGAGGCGAGGCTACGAGGAGCAAAGCCCACAGCGTCAAGGAGGGGACGGGGTAAGACTGAGGCCGTTTGATCTGCTACAATTTTACTCTACTGGAGGGTCATTCCATATAAAATCAGCTGAATCTGGAAAAAAAAATACTGCCAACACATTTTGTGCACCATCATTTTCTGCCACGTAGCAAAGACAAATGTGGGATACCAGGAATACACATCATTATAGTCGTTCACAATCTGAGGACAGAAACCAAACAAAATGACTAGTTTGAGCAGTCAAATTTTCCAAACTGTTCTATAAAACATACATAGAGCCAGCAGATAAATTCCCCAGAGTTAAGACATGAGTATTTTTGATAATGATTTAGACACAGTGAATCGTGTGTAGAAGATGATCCTGAATCTTAGGAGGTCAAGTGGGAGAAACTGCCAGATTTTCATCGAATGACCCATAAAATACACTAAAAACACTAACGCATCTTTTTTTCTGTCGTCTAGAAGAGGCCCAATCTTGACAGAGAAAAAGATCGACAGAGTAGGACCGAGAAGACCTTCGCGAAGAGGAGACATGACTCCTCTTCTTCACCTTCTCCTCCGCCACAGAAAACCAACGAGAGGGAGAAAGGAAGGCGATCCAGGAGCAAACAGAAGGAGAGCGACAAGGCGAGGCGTTCAAGAAGCACAGAGATGCCCAAAAGGAGGCGCTCAAGGAGCATAGATGCAGAGAAAAGGAGGCGTTCAAGGAGCATAGATGCAGAGAAAAGGAGGCGTTCAAGGAG